TTATTTCTCTAATAATTTTAACGGCCTGGAGTCACAACCACACATCAAGACATTGTTCAGATTATGTTTTTTCAAGATATTTTACATGTTTCCGTCCTGAAATGTGTTTAACTATTTTTTAAGCACCTCATCCCAAACCAAATTCCAAAACGTCATTTTAGAGCTAATAACAGATGCTTGAGCCATTGATATGCAGGCTAACGCAGTTATTAATGCAGTCTAACGCAGTTATTAGAGAGAGAGAGTGAAAGAGAGAGAGGGAGAGAGAGATTAAGCGTGTGTGAATACCTGCGTCTCTGCGTCTCTCAGCAGTATTCAGCAGCAGCGTCTACTAATAGTGAATCTTTAAGTTGAACTGCTTCAAGAACCTCGCTACTGAGAAATGTCATGTAGCTTTTCAGCTGCGAAACTATTTTATTGATAAATTCACAGGGCAGCGCTGATGACAAGTTTCTGTCCACGTGTGTGCGCGAGTGCGTGTCTGTACTGTGTGTGCATCTGTGAGAGAGAGCGGGAGAAAGATAGCGTGATCTCCATACATAAAAAAGGTTGAAGACATGGAAATTGTTTTTCATTTTTACCCTATTGTTTGTTATATTTATTTGCTCAATGTCTTTTGGGATTTGGTTCTTTTACTGTTGTAGATATCCCATAGTATAACAAAAATAATATATATCTCTTCATTGTGTTTGGCCCCCAATATACATTGTATATACTTCATTTTGCTAAAAAAATTTATTACTTACACTTTGCTAATAAAAAAAGAAAGAAAATACAGTTTGTTTTCATGAATGGACAACTTCTACAAGGCCCCATATAAATTAAAGAGGGAGTTTTCAATATGGCCACTGAACTGTAGCCTTTTCGGCTCATCATTTCGGCTGTATAACTACATTAATTCATTTTAGTTAGAACAAAATATTGATTTATGTGCCTCCCTAAGTTTCTTGCTTCAGTGGGAAGCTTGGAGCTACTCAGTACCCATCGACAGGACTTCAGAGAAGATGCATTACCAGCAGATAAAATCTCTCCAGAAAATCTGTTCATTCCTGGTACAACAGAAAATGTGCCAAGGTCAAGGCACACCAAAAAAAAACAAAAAAAATCAAAATGTGTAATTTTGGATAAAAGATTATTCCAAATACATATGTGGTAAGTCACTTTCAATGTAAAGCTAACCTTTTTAAAAGCTCTTATTGTGTTTCCCCTCACGCACTGGACATGAATTCCTTCCTCATAATAAACTTGACGACTCAAAATGGGTCTCAAACCCAACGATTTTGCATGTAATCCATCACCATCATATGCCAACAAGCCCTTCGATGGAGTTTGTCTTTAATTAACATGAATGATTGGAGCATCCCTCGCACTCCCCCAAAAACATACCGCATGGGGAGTCAAACCACATGGGATCACCTCCAGACAGCTTCAATTAACTGTGGCTTTATTTAATTACATATGTATTTGGAAATAAATTCGAATTAAATCTGTGGCTCTTGTTATTCTTCCTCACATGGATACTCAAGCATCTATCAACTTTGCTGACATACGCTATGCCCCATAAATAGTGATTACTGAAGGACGACAGATATTCAGTCGTGAATTGTACAGACAATTCTCTCCAAAGGGGAAATAAAAACTTTCTTAATCTGTCTCATATAACAAGAAAGTGTGTGCGCGAGTGCGTGTCTGTACTGTGTGTGCGTCTGTGAGAGAGAACGGGAGAAAGAAAGTGTGATTTCCGTATATAAAAAAGGTTGAAGACATGTAAATTGTTTGTCATTTTTTACCCTATTGTTTGTTATATTTATTCGCTCAATGTCTTCTGGGGTTTTGGTTCTTTTACTGTTGTAGATATCCCATAGTATAACAAAAATAATATATATCTCTTCATTGTGTTTGGCCCCCAATATACATTGTATATACTTCATTTTGCTAAAAAAATTTATTACTTACACTTTGCTAATAAAAAAAGAAAGAAAATACAGTTTGTTTTCATGAATGGACAACTTCTACAAGGCCCCATATAAATTAAAGAGGGAGTTTTCAATATGGCCACTGAACTGTAGCCTTTTCGGCTCATCATTTCGGCTGTATAACTACATTAATTCATTTTAGTTAGAACAAAATATTGATTTATGTGCCTCCCTAAGTTTCTTGCTTCAGTGGGAAGCTTGGAGCTACTCAGTACCCATCGACAGGACTTCAGAGAAGATGCATTACCAGCAGATAAAATCTCTCCAGAAAATCTGTTCATTCCTGGTACAACAGAAAATGTGCCAAGGTCAAGGCACACCAAAAAAAAACAAAAAAAATCAAAATGTGTAATTTTGGATAAAAGATTATTCCAAATACATATGTGGTAAGTCACTTTCAATGTAAAGCTAACCTTTTTAAAAGCTCTTATTGTGTTTCCCCTCACGCACTGGACATGAATTCCTTCCTCATAATAAACTTGACGACTCAAAATGGGTCTCAAACCCAACGATTTTGCATGTAATCCATCACCATCATATGCCAACAAGCCCTTCGATGGAGTTTGTCTTTAATTAACATGAATGATTGGAGCATCCCTCGCACTCCCCCAAAAACATACCGCATGGGGAGTCAAACCACATGGGATCACCTCCAGACAGCTTCAATTAACTGTGGCTTTATTTAATTACATATGTATTTGGAAATAAATTCGAATTAAATCTGTGGCTCTTGTTATTCTTCCTCACATGGATACTCAAGCATCTATCAACTTTGCTGACATACGCTATGCCCCATAAATAGTGATTACTGAAGGACGACAGATATTCAGTCGTGAATTGTACAGACAATTCTCTCCAAAGGGGAAATAAAAACTTTCTTAATCTGTCTCATATAACAAGAAAACTTCTGAGCTCTTTTAACTCCCAGAAACTTTTCAAATTTGGTGCATGCTACCACTGACAAAACATCTGAACGCTATTGTTATCTATTATACATTGACTTTTTGGTCTCTAACTTCAATGTGATGTTAGACTTAAAAGTATGAACAGGTCTGCCCAAAATAACTTGAATTAATTTTTCATTCATTTTTACCACAGAAAATAAAAAGTCATGAATATAGAGCTGTCTTTAAAACGTACTTGTGAAAGTGATGTTGAAGCCGCGTTCTGTGTACGTATGATCAGTCAGAAACTCCAGCCTGGCCACGTGGCCGCTGGTAGTGATGGGTGATGGCAGCACATCTCCAGAAAAGGTGCCCAGAATTGGTGACTCTGCCTTGCCGCCGTCTTTAATGGACAGGAAGTCAAACTGTTTCTCCATGCTCAGGTCGTTAAAGGCCATGTTGATGCGGCTCTCGGGTTTGGCGATGATCAGCCACACGCAGTGCATATTGTTTCCGTACTCCTGAGGGTAGTTTGGTGATAGCAGGACTCCAGATGGAGTTGTGAAGTTGAAGAAACACGAAACTGAGAAAAGGACAAAGAGATAAAACAAGCAACAGTTAAACACAGGAGGCGTCGTGCGTCAAACTGTGAAGCGAACTCGAGATTAAAACTGCCACTGAAGCTAAAATCAATTCACAATGCATAGGGAGGTCATTTGTTGTTGCTTAAACAATACAGCAAGACAGGAGAGGAAAAATTACAGCTTGGAGGATGTGCATAGTGTGATAGTAGCATCTGTAACTGCAACATATAACACCTCTCAGACCTAGACAATAGACATTTTATGAAAAGGCCCTTTCAGTCAATAGTTCTTAAAATAACCAATTTTTTTTTCTTAGTGGGAAGGACATATGAATGATCTAAAGAACCTTTTCCCTTTTTCCCTTCTGTTTTGTGCAACAGAAGGTTCTATAGATGCTGGTTCTTCATGGAACCGTAGATGCCATTAAAGAACCTCTATTTTTAATTAATGTCTCGTTTTTTGTTACTAGTTTCTCCTAAGGATGACTTGGGAAATTTGATGATAACATACTCATAGAATTATGTGCCAGGACAACCAGAAGCAATTCTTAAGTTGATTCCCTGAAAAGTGTAAACACTGTGGCTTTATAGAAACATTTATCTATCAAAACATTTATAAATTTGTTGAACCAGACACAGCGACATTGGCTCAACAAATGGCGTGACTTTGGGGCAGGACTATCGGTTGGTCTGACCAATGGAAGACTGAACTTGAATCCCCTCCCCATGGTAAATAAACATTAAATAAACAGACCTACCCTAAAAAAAAAAACATGTATCATGTATCCCTCAAAGCAAGTCAAGTGAGTGGCTAAAATAACAGTGAATAAAAATATTAGGTGTATGACGCCCCTGTGTACAGGTACGCTATGATCTCAACTATTGCAGAAGATAATCAGACTGAAGATGCTGCAGAGGAAGAGAATGTTTATCTGCGGGGAATATCCGCAGGCATTAACTCATTTTCAGGATTTGGGACAAAGCTGAGAGGGCAATAAGCATCACTAAATAGCCATGGGGAGAATGAAAATGAGCTCAGTGGTGGACTGAAGACGAATCGTTATGATTCCACCTCATATGAATGACTTTGCTGTCTGAGCTAATAATAATGTCATAAAATAGCAGAAAACAAAGTTGTGAGTCAATTGCAATTCCACTGATGTAATAGGATGGTAGCCATTATAGTGAAAAATGACTATAGTCTGGGGCAAATTGACGGTATACATGAATCCAAATAATAGAGAAAGAACAGTAATATCAAAACAAGTTGGACAAGCATTAACTGCCAAAAACATTGTATGTTATGACACTCAATTCAAACATTTAAATGCCACAAAAACCTTTCTCTACTTAGCGGTAGCAAACAAGAAAATCAACTGACTGCATTTTTACAAATATGTCTCTTTATATTTTCCTGCTTCTCAAATACGCAGTTTTTCAATTCAGTTAACATTTGTCAACTTCATTATAAGACCCTGATAAAGTAAATAAAGCAACTAAATGTGTTAAATGAACTGTCGCTGTGGCTTTAACTTGAGTTATAGTTAATGATTTAATGGCTCAGCTGATGAGAGGAAGTATCGGTGGGGCCATACTGTGCTAAAGACAATAATAATGGTGCACTATATCCTCCCAGGTGTGATCATGTGGGTGTGGAAAGTAATGCATTTTGGGTAAGATCTGTCACTTACACACACAGCTTGGCTTCTTGGCTGACCACTGATTATTTTTCTGGCAGGTAATGTTCTTTTTTCCTACCAGCTCAAAGGCTGGAAGGCACTCAAAATATAGCTTGTCTCCATGTCGGAAGCCTGTGCCTTCCCTCTTGCCATAGGCTGGGATTCCAGGGTCTCCGCATCCACCCTGGTTAATTTCTGAAAAATAAAAATAAGCATGAGACATTTTTGCAAAAATTTGTTTCCATCGGGGTTTTAATGGTAAAGAAGGGTCAAATAAATTTTTAAATAATACATTAATATTTCTTATTATCAATGTTAAAAACAGTTATGCTACTTAATATTTTTTTGGAAACAGTGATATATATATATATATATATATATCATCTGTGTCACCATTTCTATATCACATCTGCTGGAATCAAAAGATTTTTCCATAATCACACACACCTACACATAGTATATAAGCCTTATACTCTTTTGTGTCTTTCCAACTCACTCCATCTGACAGCAAAGCATATTCATGCAAACTACCTCCATTGCTGCCCCAATGGCATCTGTGAATGGCTTGCTCTCCTAATGAATTGTCTTTTTTCACTCTGTTCCCTTATACCCTCACCTGTCTCAATATGTCAGGGCTCATTTAGAATCACAAGGCCAAAGCTAAAGAAAGAGGCCACTACTGAGAGAGATAGAGAGAGAGCGCGCTACAGTGAAGAAGAAAGTGAGATACCTAGACAGACCTTTTTTCACATTTTCTGTTCTGATTATATACATAGTTTTGTCATGAAACTCTAGATGGTGCAGGCTGATAGGTTCTAACTCAGTCTGATATAATCACATCATTATTCACATGGCGAGTGCTTCTAGTTGCATCAGCAGCCAATGAACCTACTGCTCAACATTCAAATACTTGGCTAGTGCTTGCTGTAGCAGTTGCAGCGCGCTTCAGAAACCCTCCACCTTCCCCAGCTCCACCTGTATAGATCTGCTACTGCATATTATCATGTATGCTTTATATGTGGGGTTATTGTACATGTTATATGTGCAGCTGGATATATTGGCAGTAGCAAGTCTGTACTTGCTCTGCTGCAGCAGCAGCAGCATAGCAGATCTACTCCGTCAAGACCAAACACATTAATATAGCCATGTATATTACCATGCTAAACTCTCTGAGAGTTGTCATGAGAGAACTATGGAATTATTCAGATGTAATGTAGACATTGTACAATAAGTTAAATGGAGCTAACAGTACTATACTTTACACTATTAAAAATAAAACGTATTTATTAGCATCTATGGTTCCATGAAGAAACTTTGGTATTTGTGGAACTTACAAAAATACATATATACATACATACATACATACATACATATATTCTTCTATGGCAACATTTAATTATTTATTTTGCTAGCCCAAACATCTCACTAATTCTACTGACCTCTTGATAGAGTTTGGACTTGGCATGTTACTAAGTTATAATGCTCTAACATGAATAAAAATGCATAGTGTACACACACATATTTGATTTAAAAAGGTGTTTCTCTAATGCCTAGGTCACTTAAACACATCAGATGATGTATAAACATTTAGATGTGCCTTGATGCCAACCTCCACATACTGCCAGAGAAGGCAAAATTTTTCCAGTTCTGGACAGGTGACAGGCCTCTACCTGGACTGAATCTCTATCCTTTATCTTGGGATTTACATCTTGAGTTTACTTCTGACCATATCAATCAGTTAAGGCAAGAGGATTGTGAGAGAAAATTTCTCCTGAGCTGACAAATATTACGCAGCAAGTCATCCCTGTGGGAGTGTATGTATGCGTGATTCCTTAAGTGCCCCAGCTAACACTTTGTTACAGCTGTCTTCGGCTTGGTGACAAACAAACTGTCTCTGAGAGCCGACATGTGCACTTTCATAAGGGGCGACATTTGTTATTTACCCATTTCAAATTTCCTATGATTTATTCATGTCACTTAGATTTTTTCTTTTAAACTCTGAGAACACAGATGGAAGTCATTGATTTTCTAATGAAGGATTACTAATTATACAGGAAGGCACAAGTACTAATAAATCCATTAATCTTTACCCATCGTACGAGTTAAGAATTATTTTTTACCTCCAGCATGCACCTGGGGTCGGCAATAGGCTACACTTCTTCTGTATTCAGCCATATTGCAGTGTGTATAACAGTTAAAATCCTCAAAATGCGCTCCACAAGCAGAAGCAGCAGTGATACAGATCTGCATGTGCACATATAAAATATTAAGCAGCCTATCTGTTTTCAACATTGATAATAATGTTTCTTGAGCACCAAATCAGCATATTAGAATGATTTCTGAAGGATCATGTGACACTTAAGATTGCTGAAATTAGGTTTGCCATCACAGGAATACATTACAGTTTTTAAAAACATTCAAATAGAAATCGGTTCTTACAAATTGTAAAAATATTTAACAATATTGCTTTTTTTACTGTATATTAAGCATTAAAGAGGGTTAACTGACTTCAGGAAGACAACAGTAAATATTATGAAAACATTGACATGAACAGTTCCCTCAGCACACTACCATTCAACTTCGCTTTGGAGCTCCAGTTATGAGTTATATAAATGCAGAAGATGAGTAGGAAAACAAAAAATGAGTGAGAAAATAATAATTTTAAAGCGACATTTTAAATGTGAATCCTCTAGTAAAGAGCAGAAGGGGATATGCCCCTGGCAAGCCCGCTTTCTGTGTGTTTTTTTTCTTTTTCTTTTATGGCTGAGATCAGATCGTAAATAAAAAAAAAATTTTATGATGAGTGTTTGTCATCAGTTATGATGCCCTGTTCTTAATGGAGCGTCAAATATGCTCGGACGTCCATTAGCCTCAGAGCAATGTAACATGCTGACAAGTGGTATGATTAACCAGCAAATCTTGACATCATCTAACTTCTTTGCAGACTGTTGCATTGAAGATGAGGAAAACTCCCTAAAGCCCTGCACAGGCCTCAAATCTAGGCCCTAGCCCGCCCGGGACGCTTAAGCCCCCGCTTAATTCTCGGCCTGAGTCCGACTGGACGACTGAGTCCGACCTCCCCATTACACAGCCTACTGTTGCAGACATTAAAATAGTTCAGCTTTGTTTTTAATGGCAAAGTAGTTATATTTCTTTTAGTTTAGTTAGCTCGCGTGTGAGCTATGACATGAAAATTGGCCCGAAGCCCGGCCCTAGGGGTGTAAATAAGTCGGGCCCCGTCGTGCTCGGGCTGAAATGCAGGGCTCTAAAACTCCCTGTTATTGTAAGCAATTTTGGATTGGAATGTACATATAGGCAATATAAAGACAATGGACATACAACAGTGATCTTTTCTATTTGGTGGATTTTCTCAGCAAATATTGATATAAGTGATTAGTTTTGATTAATTAAATTAATTTATCGCTATATCATGTCATATCAATGATGTTGGGGGGTATGTACACTGCTCCACTTTCTTCTTATGTTTTTGCAGTGGATAAAATGCATACAAACTCAGGGCCTAGATGCTTATTGTGTATCTGACAGCAAATATTGGTTTGTAATTTATGAAATGTGCCAAAGTCCCCCATGTGCGGTGCAATTCTGAAAGAGGGCCAGGATGAAAGCTCTGGTGTTTTCATTTCCAATCAGACATAGACTCTGAAAACTGAAAATTAGTAGCCACTCTTGCATGATATCCTCCCTGCCCCATGGCCCTCATTCCAGCAAGGTTAAACAATCACAGGCTGCTTTGATGACCCTCACCACATGTGCAAAACTTATAATGGTGAAGCGAGAAATAGAAAATGAGGCTGTTCCTGTACACTCAGTAGATAGCAGGCAAATAGCAGGAAGCTACAAGAAAATTGAGAAATTTGCTCAGAGGAAATCATAAGGTGCGAGATTTGACTAGCTATGTGTATAACATCAATGTGAACGTCTGCCAATGACCTTATTATAAAATGTCTGCTTCACTCTGAAAATTACATGCAATCAAGAATAATTTAAGCAAAGAATAAATAAGCATTCAAAGGCTTTTCATTGCCAGTCATCTGATTCATCTGAGACATAAGTGGTTATGGTGATACAGAAATAGAGGAGGGAAAAAGAGCAATGCATTTGTTGATTTCAGTGATATATCATGATATATCAATGCAATGACAACTACGGTAAGAGTCTTCAACTGAGAATAGTCTATGACATGATAATTACCAAATGTAGGAATGTTAATCTTTTTTTTTTGCATTATATTAAATGTGATATGTGAATGTGATATACTATATCACATTAAATCATTCTTTATCACATTTATTTTATTTTTTTTACATAGGAAACGTTGTATGACACAAATACATAAAAATAAATAAATAAATAAATATTTATTATTATTATTATTAGTAGTAGTAGTAGTAATAGTGGTTTTGTTGTTGTTGTTAAATATAAACAAATATATTTTGTATTATTTATTTATTTTCTCTCTATACTAAATGTCAAAATATCTTCTTCTGTGATCAACAGAAGAAAGAAACTCATAGAGGTTTGGAACAACTTGAGGGTAAGTAGGATGACAATTTTCATGTTTGGGTGAACTATCCCTTAAGCTCGCTCTGAACCCAAATGCAAAGAATTTCCTTTACTTACCTTCGTAAGAAACCTTAAAGCCCAGGGAGCCACTTGTGTCATCCGTTTTAAAATTGAGCCACATCTGATGGCTGGTACTGACCACCAGATCTGGAGTTGTAGTCCCAGACAACCTTAAATCAAAATAAGACAGACAAACACTATAAAACATCACAATAAAACAGTAATTCTTCACTTTCAATATGCGCTCTATCATTTGGCACCTCTCAGGGAACATGGGGAGTTCCTTCATTCCCCCGGCACTAGCCTTCAGGGACCTGCGGAATTGGTCCATAAGGGCTTATGAGACCTGCTAATTAAGCACATTAGACCATCAGGGGACTCTGAGTAACCAGAGAGAATGTGCCCAGGGACACCAGCCATTCAAAAGGAACACAAGCACTTGTACACCTCTGCTAGAGAGCGCACATAAACGGCATCGATAAAACTTTATGAAGACCATAAATTTCAGCACAATTAATAACAACACACTCAGCAACGTTTCCGGAGCATCTGGTGCGCAAATCTGCATTGTGGGGCATCAACGTGTGATGTGGTTTTGGAGCAGGAGTGTTCTTGTTCTAACATTGAGACTCATAGTGATTGACAATAAAGCTTGGGGTATTTCTGCAGTACACTTCTGCTCAGAGGGCTGATGAAATGAGATGAAATAGAGGGGGGCTAAAGGAAGAAACGGCAGAGGAGGAGAGAACGTAGGGGCTGAAGAAAGAGAGGACGCTGAGAGATGAAAGAAGATGGGGAGGAGGTTTATGCACACAGAGAGGAGATTTTAAGAGTGGGAGACACAGCCTGGGAGGAGTTTGAGAGAGGACAGAGAAGAAAGCAAAAGAGGAACAAAAGTACTCACACATGAAAGACTGTCCGCTGATCGCCGATTACAGCTCCATCTCCCACAGTTAGAGTATCGTAGCCCCGCTCTAAGTCAAACTCCTCAAAAGTCAGCTTGATCACCTACACACAGAGAAGAATCAGAGTCAGCTTTCTGAACTTGGTTAGAAAAACAGCGAACCAGTACTTTATTTTTTTCTTAAAACCCCCTTCGTTTGAATAAATAAATAAATTCTTGTGGACGAGTAACCTAATTATAACACCAGACATTTCATAATATTTTGATATCAGTACTTTTCAGATTGCACATACTAAAAGAGGAGAAAAACTCTCTCTGCGGTTGTAGACGAAAGAATTTATGCCTTTGAGTCGAAGGTGCATGTTACTCATTCTTCTCCAAGATGAAAACAAGTCTGCAGAATTTTTTATACAAAAGGAGAAAAGTAAGAGTTATGGAAAGATGAACAATTAAATATAAAGGTTTATTGCTGATAAACACTAAAAAGAAACACTGTGAAAAAAGTATGAATACAAATTAACAAAAAAGTGCTGTCTATTCTCCCTTTTCAAATTGGCTGCCACATTTTCACCAAATTCTTAATGTTTTTGGAGTGCTCAGAGACCAACTCCTAATGAAAAAGCTTATATAAATGCAAATTGCATTCTGTCCTATGGTAAACGCACTCTGCAACAAAGAGTGGCATGGGTGGACTGGCCACATTCTAGGTCACACCGGCAGTGAACACGATTTCATCCTCATTTACCTCCTCTGAACCTTTCTTTTCTCAATCCACCCGCTCACCTCGAGTGAATCCCACTGTGTCCTGTGCGGTGTGTATGACGATGAGCGACAGCACTTTGGGCGGGGCGACCCTCAGTTGACTCACTGAGTGATTATGATGCAAAGGCTGATCCCAACAAGTCAATACTCTGAGACAGAGCATGAAACGTGACCATCACGCCACACTAAGACCTTCTTTATATAAAGTCACACAACAAAACTCAGAGAACAAATAAGGCATTACAGAAAGTGATTTGATAATGTTTAGTCATCAAATGATTGCATAGAGGATGAAGATCTGTCTCTTAATCTAGCAAACTTTGCATAATTATCATAATGTGATTATATTACATTGCATACAGCTGCCTGTGATTGAGGAATTTTTTTTTGTCCCAAAACAAAAGCAAAAGCAAATATTCTACATGATAGGTAAAATGAAATTATTGCAAGAGCAAACTTAAGTATTTATACAAATATTTGTCATACGTGTTGATCATTTGACAGTATATAAAAGCAGATTAATTATTTGGTTAAAAAATTACACATTAATTATTAAAAGCAGCATTTTTTTTCATGTTTTTAAATGTGGAAGGAAAAAGTATTGCAAATAATTTTTTACATTTGTAAAATACAATTGTAAATATTATTACTATTAAAATGTAGATTTGTTTCTCCCCTATAGCTAAGTAAAAAGAGTGCAGCATTTTTCTTGAGCATATTTTAACAGTTTCAATATCCCAGTGACCGGAAATTCATTCACAGAACATATGAGAGAGCCTGAAAATAAAATAAAAAATATAAAATAAAATAAAATAACCACTATGACTGTTAGAAGGAGGGAAATATTGGCACAAGTGTTAATTTTGTCAGACATTTTTAATTTATTCTTAGTCTTTTAAATTATTCTTAGTCTTGGTCATGTGCCAAATGTACATTTTAGTTATTACATATTTAGTCAACCTCGTCCTGTTTTTGTTTTAGTCAAGTTTTAGTCGACTAAATGTCTGGGCATTTTAGTCTAGTTTAAGTCAATTAAATTTTTGTCATATTTCATCATGCTGTATAATGGTTAAACTGATAAAATTTATTTTTGCTCAAAATTATAACCGTAATGATTGTTGTCATTTGATAAATTTATTGCACTTTCATCAATAAGCACAAATCAATAGAATGTGGACACACACGCATGGTTTATTTTACCTCATCTATTGTACTAATTTATTATAGTCTATTTATTATATAAATAAATATCAAAACATATGCACTCTCTCTGCCTATATAATGAAAACTGGTAAAACAAACAAAAAATATTATTTGAATTTGAATACAGTGAAATTCCTAATAATTTCAATAATTCCAAATGACATTAATGTTTCTCTATTAAAACAACAGTGGTTGAGTAAGTGTATTAAATTCAGCAACCACAATTGCAAACAATATGAATGACACTTTCATTTAAGCTGAACACCTCACACGGAGATCGCTAAACTCCAGCTTACTTGTTTGTCGGTGTTTTCAGATCATCATCAGCGCTTCCACAATGAAGAGCGAGCGTGTGCGCATGGTTACTAGATTGCAAAAAATAAGCAAAACACCTAGCAGAAAATGTAACCTTTTAACAGACAAGCTCTGATTTGGGGATTTAAATTCTTGATATCTGGCAACCGCACACATGAAAGCACACATAGAGGCTTGTACAGCAGTTCACAATAATTCACAGTTATCATTTATTAACCTTGTCATCTCGTCATCGTCTTGTTTCAGTCATGGGAAAAAAGCTCATCAACAAACATTTTTCGTCATAGTTTTCGTTAACGAAATTAACATTGACAAACCAAATAACAGCACAGAATATATAAATTAATTAATAAATAGTAATAAATCACTCCCAATGCTCTCAGACAAAAGCCATTGTGAATGCGGTTTCGCAGCTGAGAGCGATAATGCTCAAAGACTACATAGCAGGGAGCGGGACTTGTTAGAGGAACGAGGCTTTTTGTCAAAATAGAAGTCCCTGCAGAAGTGAAGTAGCAGATAATACCAGTCCGCTGAATGACGATAGCGCACAGAATAAAAGAAGGGCTGATAATTAAAATAGAAGAGGACAACAAAAGCAATCAGCCATGAGCAACTCATTCTCTATTATTATGCCTTCTGGGGATCCTCCATCTAAGGCAGAAACGCAGTGTCTAGACTCTGAGCTAATGTTTGTCTGTGAGCGGGGGATTCAGGCCGGTGCAGTTCCACATGCTGACTTCCCTGCAGAGTTCTATCTCTTTCTCTCATTCATTAGCTCCAATTTCAGCCATTTTCCAGCACCCGTCATTAGGCACCACTGTTGACGTAAATAGAATGGACATCTATGAGTAGCAAGTTCATCTTTAACTGTAGCTCCGGGGAATCTGGTACTGAGGCATTACAGACTCTGCTCCGTCTGAACTTCAGTATGTTACTTGTTTTAGTTGATTAAACATATCACACTGTTAACCAAATGTCATTAAATTTCCCTTGCACTTCATATAAGCACTTCAGTCGTTTATTACATTTGTCCACCATATGTCAACTTATTTATTGTGTTTAACGACATTTTGGGATAGAAATAAGATTTTTAACATGTTTGGAATAAAATGACAGGGCCTGTGGTTTAAACCACATGTACGTTTTAAAGGCCCATACAAATTATGCAACAGTATGTGCTAGGGATGTAGAATTGACAGACAGTTGACCCTGAGAGGTCAAGTAAATATCTACAGCGGATCTAAATATTTATAATTAATTATAACTAGTTATGATTAATTATTCATATTTCCCCATGAGCTGATTCGCTACATAAATGAAGTTAACCAACTAACATTATTTCTGTACCCAATATTTTTTAAATTTACAAATGCAATAAAAATATTGGTATCAGCACTCGGTATCGGCAAGTACCAAAAATAAAAGTATCGGTATCGGGCGAGTACTGGAAAAAGTGGTATCGGTGCATCCCTAGTATATGCATAATTGTACATAATTTTATATCTACACAAGAATATCTCGGTCACTACCATCAAAAGTCTGGTGTGAGGCGGCACCGTCTCAGTCTCTGTCCGGAGCGGGTGAAATAATTATAATGCTGAAGGTGAGGTACGTTTTGAATAATGTGTTGCTTATATTTATTGTGTTTAGACATGTCTGTGAAAGATTGTATTACTGTACTGTGTAAAAAAAAATTATAATAATAATTTCAATGCTGAAAAAGCATTTTCAGTGACAATGTTTGGATTTGAAATCAAAATAATGGATAAATGTTGTGTTTGTGGTAAACAGCCACGGGTCAGTAGCGGAGCCAAGAATGGGAATTCCCCCCATTTTCAAAAATGAAATTCAGGCTCTGAATAAATGTCTAAAAATCCTGATTGGAGTATCACTATAAATAGTTATAAATGATAAAAAGAAGGCTTTAAAAAGATCGGTATCGGTGATCTGTATCGGCAGATACTGCTTTCTGTGATCGGCGATCAGTGATCGGCCTCAAAAATCCTGATCGGAGCACCCCTAGTGAGCAAGATGTGTTTTTTTTTTTTATAGATATTAATTAATTCATTATTATTATTAATTAATAATAATTACTTTATTTAGCAAGGATGCATTCAATTGATTAAAGTGACAGTAAATACATTTATAATGTTAAAAAAATAATTCAGTTTTAAATAAATGCTTATTCATCTAAGAATCCTAAAAAAAATGCATCACAGTTTTCACAAAAATATAAGCAGCGCAACTTTTTAGCATTTGTAATAATAAGAAATGTTTATTGAGCAGCAAATCAGCATATTTGAATGATTTGTCAAGGATCATGTGAAACAGAAGACTAAAAAAATCAGGTTTTTTTGTAATATATTGAAATTGAAAACAGTTATTTTGAATTGTAATAATATTTCACAATATTACCGTTTTAACTATTTTTGATCAAATAAATGTCGTTTTGGTGCACATAAGATACTTCTTTCAAAAACAAAATCTTACCAGCCCCAAACTTTTGAACAATAGAATATGTACACAAGTACATCATTTCAGCACCAAGTGAAACCATTCCTACATCCCCTTGGTCAATATGTATTCATCTAATACCCAAAAAACTAAACATGAGTAAAGGTTTTGGTAAGAAGGTTTGGTGTCTGTAAAGAATCACAACAGTTTCCCTACAGTCACCTTATTTATAGCAACATAGTATTCGTATAGCATTTAACATTGTTCAGACAAACTGCTAAATCCTCTGTTAAACAGCTAAGTGCATGTGGTCACATCTCAACCCAACTCCACTGAATGACACAGAAGCTGATATGTCAGACAACTCCATCAAACAAACCAGCGCTTAGATATATACAGTAGTTGCTTCCACCACAATTTAAAGCAAAAAATAAATACTTCACCTTTAAATATTCATTATGCATCAACAAACGCTAAATGATGTCAAATTCTAGCTAACTGTGATGCTAAAGGCTTTAACAGCTGCTGGGGTCTCTCCACACTGGGAGAGTCTTTGGCTCAGGCAGCAAACCAGCTGCGGCGAAATCAAAAGCTCATTGTCAGGTACATTTCATACGGCCCCAGTTCTGGCTCAGTCTCACAGCTAACATCACGTCTTTCCCCGGTACTATTGTGTCAGAACAAAAATAGAATGTCATTACGGTTGTAAAGAGCAAAAACAGCAATGTTCACACACAATCTTCATCTGTGCCCTGCTCTTCAGCCGTGACAGTGTGAAGCAGAACTGTCCTTTACTCACAGGATGAAATAGCGCACTGGGTGGCAGAAAAAAAAGCAGGGGGCACTGATAGAGCCGCTTCACCCCGTTCCATTTGCCCTCCATCTCTCGTTCCCCTTCTCTCCCAATTGAGTCATGGTGATGAGGGGAGAGATTTGTAAAGCCATTTATTTGAACATAGATAAAGAAAATCTGGCAAGCGAGTAAGAAAATGGCCTTGAACTCGACGCCAAAGTCATGACACAGAGCGCCACAGTTTTTGTCTCTACCGTGGTGGCTGCGGAAATGTAGCATTTTTTATCTTCCATTCTCCTTTAATATAACCATCAATGCTTCATTTTTTATGAGTGTGTAGATAACTGGATATTGCACATCATCTCTCGATATCTGTGTATCCTTTTCCCTGCAATCTGCAGTTATTAGCAGGCCCACATGGAAACTGTGCCCACAGAAGACTCCTTAAATTTCCTTAAGAGAGTTTACAAAGTTTTCCCTGTGTGTTTGTTTATTCAATATTCTGGCTAATTTGAAAATACCTTCAGTTTCCAATACGATTAGCTCTATGTGTACTATTATTCACTACTATTCGGGGTCAGTAAGATTTTTTTTTTTAACACTTTAAAATTAATACTTTTATTCAGAAAGCACACATTAAAATGTTCAAAACTGACAGTAAAAATGCTTATAATATTTAAAAAAAAACATTGCAAATAAATTAATCAAAGAATCCTGAAAAACATGCATCAGGGTTTGCACACAAATATATATATATATATATATATATATATATATATGAATTTTGTTTAGTCTCATACATTTTAAGTAAGTGAATAGGCCTATTGTTTGTTATTTTAACAGAACAAATGTAATTATTTTCACAATTAACAGATTTATGATGATTCTAAGCAATTTGAATAAATGTATTTTTAAAATATAACTATTTAAATAAAATCAAATAGATGCAAACAGCTAATAATAAACTATGCCATGATTTTTTTTTTTTGAGTGCAGAAATCTTACCAGTTTCTTCTCTGCTTCATTTAAAAACAACTGACAAATATGCATCACATTAAGGTTATAAATATATTTTTTTCATGTTAAAAATGTGTAATCCAAATGGATGGAAATTGTATATGCAATTCAAATACATACATCTTAAAATTAGGCCTTTTTTTTTTTTTTAATACAGATACTTGAAATTCAAAACCTCTGGAATCGCCACATGAATCATGGTTAATTAATTTAAAATATCCAGTAATATGTTGGACAACAGTTTGAGTCAAAAGAATTGAGAACCACTGTCATAGATTTAAAAAAAAAAAAAGGTGTGTAAACAGTGATAGCATACTAGTGCCACTAGAACATTGATAATAATAAGAAATGTTCCTTGAGCACCAGAGCAGTATATTAGAATGATTTCTGAAGGATCATGTGACAATGAAGACTGGAGTTATGATGCTGCTGAAATTCAGCTTTGCCATCACAGAAGTAAATTACATTTTAAAAATATTAAAATAGAAAAGAGTTAAAGTATTATAGTAATATTTCACAATATCGCTGTTTTTACTGAATTACTTGATCAAATAAATGCAGGCTTGGGAAGCTTAAGAGTCTTCTTTCAAAAAATGTACTGACCCCAATCTTTTGAATGGTAATGTGCATTTTACCATATTTAAATCAGATATTCCCATTAAATCAGAACAGAAAAGGCAAAAGTCGTCTATGGGTTTTGCCTCGGCCTAATTATTGTTTCACTTCAAATGACATGTTCTGATACTCAAGTGTGAAGCTATGTTTCAGCAGCGTGCAGAGAAGCATTTACCTTGGAAGGGTCCGAAGCTGTGATGATCCAGGTGCAGTTAGCATTGTTGTCATATTGTACTGGAAAGTTTGGGGAGGTGATGATGCCACTAGGGCCACGGAGCTGACCACCACACATAGGAGCTGAAAGAAGAGAGAGACAATATGTTAAAGAGCGAATCATGCAGTTTGACTCTTCAGAGAGTGAAACAACATCTCATCTATGAAAGATTTGAGGTATTGGGGAGGGGGGGGGGTGGAAGAGAA